CAAGTTAAATTGATTTTGTAAAAGAAAATGAAGGCAATACCGACAAAAAGCGTTTACGATGCAAGCCTCTGACCTCGTCAACTGATGTCTCAAGAYATTGCGCACAAAAAATTCTATTTTATTTGAATAACTCTGCAAAATTGCTGGCGAAAGTCCTCAGCCAATCATGATATCAGTACATCTTTTTTGCAGAGCTTTGGTCTTGTAAAAGGAGTAAGTTGCTACAAGTGTGAGGCATCCTTAAAAAAATTTCCAAGCAGGTTTGTATGGTGGGACATGCAGCAAGTTAAAACTATCCGGCGAACTGCAAATAAGAAACGAGTTGATGCATGCAGCAACCAGATCGTTCCTTATTTGCAGCAACTCGTCCAACATGCAGCAACTCATTTCTTATAGTGCAGCAACTCGTTTCTTATTTGCAGAGACTAGTTTCTTAATTAATTTGCAGCAACTCGTTTCTAAATCAATTTGCAGCAACTCGTTTCTAAATTAATTTGCAGCAACTCGTTCCTTATTTGCAGTAACTCGTCCAACATGCAGCAACTCATTTCTTATAGTGCAGCAACTCGTTTCCTATTTGCAACGACTCGTTTCTTAATTAATTTGCAGCAACTCGTTTCTTAATTGCAGCAACTCGTTTCCTATTTGCAGCAACTCGTTTCTTATTTGCAGCAACTCGTTTCTTATTTGCAGCAACTCGTTTCTTATTTGCAGCAATTCGTTTCTTATTTGCAGCAACTCGTTTCTTATTTACAGTAACTCGTTTCTTATTTGCAGTAACTCGTTTCGTTTTTTATTTGCAGCAACTCGTTTCTTATTTGCAGCAACTCGTTTCCTATTTGCAGTGACTCAAGAGAGCATAAATAAGAGAGGGAAACTTCTTATTGTGACGCGCACGATGTAGATATCCGGTTGGGCTATTTTGAGTAGTTGACGCACAGGAGTAGGGTAAGGCGAAATTTAAACTGCATCCGGTTACTAAAAATAGCCCAACCTGGAATTTACATAGCGCGCGCCACATTAAGAAGTTTCCCTCTCTTATTTATGCTCTCTTGAGTAAACTTAGTCAAACTGTTGAATATACAGTCAATTCAAAAAACGTTGTCGTCGACCGGCTCAAGCCTACGCGACTGGACCGAAAAGGAATAGGGATAAAAAAATCACTTAAGCGGTTAAATATTCGTTCTGAATTAATTGTTC